GGACATACACCTTGCGGTGCTTTTTTCTTTAACGGCGGGCCGAGTAACTTACGCTATCATGGCCGCATTGAGCGCACCTCCCATGTTGTCGTGTCTTGGCAACAAGTGTACTTTGATTTTAACCAATCGTATGGATTTATCGTAGGATAATTTGGGGAGGTTTTGGTTGCACCTCAATGATGCGGAAATGATGTTTGCGGAGGTTTTGGTAGTCCTCCAGTGACTGCACCGGTATCGGAAAATCTGGATATTTTCCCAGAAAACTATGAACGGTTCTCGAGTGAATCTGTTGGGTAAGTTCAAATGCGACATTCCTCCGTTCGGTAAGTACATGATTGTTCGCAGGTTGGGGTGGAGATTTTGGGCGATCAAGTCGTTGTCGATCTTGTCTGTCCGCACATAGTTTAATCAAGTCAAATCACGTCAAAAGTACCTGTCAAAATGCGTCATATTGAGCTATCTCAAGATATTCAATGCACTATTTATATTATTATGACCAAACTTTAGTAATCACACTTTTACTTTAATTTTCTGTAATTGTGGGGAATGTAATCAAAGTAGTATAATTTGACTAATATTCTGTAAGGTACCACTCTACACTTCCTGAGTAAGGTGCAAGTACATACTACAGTAGAACTACAGTAGTAGAACAGAGATACTATGTAGTACAGTAATACTGTAAAGTACAGTATATGCAAGTAACAGTAAGTACAGTACAGTACGTACGTATTCCATGCGGATGTACAGAATGGAGTAATTTTCAGTTATTCTTGCATTCAAATGAAGGACTGGTACATCCGATGAGAGGACCATGCCAGTACTGTGTCTAGTACTACGGTAGAAGGAGTACTGCCGTAGAAGGACAAGATTTGATACCGCATAGAGTACAGTTAATGATTACAGTACAATACAGTAAAGGACGAGATTTGACATTAAGTGCCCGCTGAGCGATTTTAACTTTACAGCAAATATCAAATATTATAGGACGAGATTTGACACTGTACAGTACAGTACAAGATACTAGTAATACAGTACTACAGCGAACGACGGAATGGTACGCCAATCGAAGTTTGTGAAACAGCTGCAATCTTTTGTCCAAAAGAAGTCGAAATTGAGAATCCTAACATTTGATTGGCAAGCAATAATATTTTCCCGCCCGCACTTCTTTCGTGAATTTCCCCCGTACCTCAGGTCTTCATTTGATATGCAGTCAACAATGCGCATTCCAAAGCGTAGCTACACCATCGCAATGAAGCTGAAGGTGCTAGGTCTTTTGGAAACAAGCAACGACCAACAAATGTCTGACATACTAAGCATTCCACGTCGCACCATCCGTACGTGGGTCAACCAAAAACTCGACATCCTCGCTTACGACGGGAACAAAAAACGAATGAAAGTCGATCGAGGTGGGCGACCTGAAGAATTTCCCGATCCCGAGGGTCTCGTTGACTATATTAACGAAATGCGAGCCCAAGAACGGGCGCTAACAACGTCGCATTTCATCAACTGGATCAAGAGGCACCAAACGGCTTGGCTGCGGTCCTACATCTCACTCAAGAAGCCCAGCACCGGGTACCAAGGGCTCCTGCGACTGCTGCAATTCTTTTGTCACCACCATGGATTTACGCGTCAACGACCCAGCAAATAGAAGCAAAGTAATCCGCCCTGATCGAAGTGCGTGATGATTTCGCCGCTGAGTTCCACCAGCAGTATCACGGATTTGGTCTCGATTGCGTCTACAATGTGGATGAGACCGGGTTCTACTATAACATGCCGCCCAAGTACATCTGGTCTGCTCGCGGTGGCGACTCGAAGATATCAACTGGCGAGAAACACTCCATGCGTATGACAGCTGTACTGACCGTCCTCTTGAATGGAGACATGGATGGAGAACACCGTGTGGAAGTCGTATCTGCGTGACCTGTTGCATCGAAGTCTTGTCGAGCCGTCGGTGATCCTGCTCGACAACTTTGAGTCTCATATGAATGATGTCTCGTACCGCATTGTTAAAGAAGAGCTCGGCAGCTTCCTGTGCGCAATTCCCCCCAATGCTATGTCCATCTGTCAGCCACTGGATGTAGGTGTGATGGCTCCATTCAAGCGTTACCTTCGGGACGAGTGGCTCACCGAGAAGATGATCGATGGGGAGGACAGCGACGATTCGACACCCGCTGAGAAGAGGAAAGCGATGATGAAACGTATCATCGCCGCGTGGGACCGAGTGACGGCTGCCGAGATTCGCAACTGCTTTGTGAAAGCTCTACCATCTATTGAGGAGTAAATGAACCGACAATGTATTACCTACCCTTGTTGGCCATGATGGCGATGTCACAACCAACAATCTTGATCGAATATATATGTGAATATTCTATAATTTTAGAAAAACTAAACTTGAATTTAGTAATGCAATACTCAAATTAATATAGTTTTGAAAAAAAGCTTGACACTGCCCGGGAATTGAACCCGGGCCCCTTCCTCTATCCTCTTGGATGCCGTCACACTAAACTGTTGCGCCACTGCGTCAAGCGCTATCTTCGACGTTGGCTCGTAGTTACCGTCACGATTGGGAGTTTCTCCTGTGTCTTTTGAAGATCGGATCTTGAGCAAGTTGGACTACTGTAGTCTAATTTTCCAAGCTCATCCAGCTGTATCTTTTTATAAGCTGCAATAATATTACTACAACGTCGCGATGATTGGCTGCAAAAGTAATCGAACTTCGCAGAACGTTAGCAAATAAAATCGCGAGAATTCCCAACCTCTCGAAGGCAACTGTGGCGTACCATTCCGTCGTTCTCTGTAGTACCGTACTACGTAGTAGTACTACTCAGTAGGTACAGTACAGTAACGCAGTACTGGGTACACACACTATCATGTAAATGTATGTACGGTGTCTCAGTAAACAGCAGTATAATCGGAGTACGTACTAGTAGTACATTACGACTAGTACTTGTAGTACTGTACTCCATTCGATGATAACGCAAATAACCATTGATTTGCCGAACGTCTTGCCCAATAGAATGTCAAAATTAATATGATTGGATCAAACTATTTACAGGAGCAATGAAACCCTTGATTAGTTATTATTGTTCGAGGAATTATATTATAGAATCTCAACCTTATTCAGAGGCGCGTTGAACCTATGATACCTACAGTTAACAAGTGTAAATGCTTTATAAACGAATAGAAACTGTATGAATAGATATTTGTATTGTTTGCTCGAAGTATTACCACTTCTTTAATCAAATCTACATTTCGGCAAATCAATGATTCACTGTTTGGAGTGGCCATCTTTACAATTATATTACTTCACAAACATTTTAATTGCCTTCTAGCCGAATTGACAGTGAAATAACTGTAAAGGGCTTGGACTAAAGTAGGTTGTAAATACTGCATGAAATATGCTCCAAACGAACATACAAAATTCGGCCAATAAATGAGTTATTACGTTAGTATCACAACTGTAGTACTACCTCCGTACGGAATGAGTTTAGTTTCGAATCTTTCAGTCACTTTTTCATTGTGTACAATGAAATATAGATTTTTGGATGGATACCGAACGATTCGCTCTTTCGAATAAACTCAAAAGGTATCCATTTAACGGTCTATATTTTACACAATCAAATTTTGAAATTGACGCTTTACACAGGCGACCATTGATGGGGCAACTTTTATGCTTAAGTTAAGTCTTGATAACGTATATTTCACCCACTTTCGACAACGTACAATTACCATGTTGTAGAGGTTTATTGAATTTGATCAGATATCATGTATAGTAGTAATTTTAAACACCAATATTGAGATACCTTTCTGCATTCATACAGGTATATGTTCTATAGAGGTTGGATTTTGGCCAATGAAAATTGATTGAGGTTTTGATTGGATGACAAAGTCGGCCCACCAATGGCGTACATAAACTCTGCACACAAGAATTAGGGAATCACAGGTAGAAAATGGGGAATCATATGAAACTGTAACGTTACAAATATTATATAAGGTAATTTTGTCCTCCACAGGCCTCGTCTGGGAGCGGCACGGCCTGCGGCCTACCTGCCGCTTTCCCGACGAGAGGAATCGATTGGACATTCGGTGAAGTGCACGATTGGGGCTCACTCCTCGCCAAGGCACCGCCTGTCCAAAATTATACACACGGCCTCCGCTGCGCTGCGGTGCGCGCAATTTTGTGGGCGGATGCTCTGTCGTCGCTCGCTGCTGTAACGCTAGGTCAATTCCCTTGTGTTTTGATACACGTGTGTGTCCCCCAGATTTCTACCTGTGATTCCCTAATTCTTGTGTGCACGAGCATTTGACTCCCATCAATGGCCGGTTATGTTACCCATGAAGTTATGGATGATTATTACCGTTACTCCGACCAACCTTAATTCTAGTATGATTAGTTTCATCCAACGAGAGTTCGCACTACCCGGGCTAGCCAGTGATGATGCTTTTTCAGTCAATTATAGTGTTTAGGGTTAGGGTAGTATAGGAAGTAGGTGGATTTTAAAGGAAAGGTCGGATGGTAGAAGAAAATATGGATATTCGAATGAAACCAATCATAACCGATACCATTTGCATATTTCTGCATTCTCCGACCAGTGTATGGGGCTATATGATCTTTTGCCAGGAAACTCTAAGAGAGCCCGAGCAACCGCCGTGAAGGCATTCGAAAGATTCCTTTTGTCTGAAAGCGTTGAACTATCCTACATGAAATCGTGTATCACCAACGATTCGACAGGACATAACTTTGTGTCTGTCATGGACAATTTGGCATGTATCTTGCATTTAATGAAGGCGAGTCTGGTGAGAAACTAGCTAGACATTAATGTATGCAATACTATAGGCAAGTTAAGCACTGGCTCCTCGACCAATTCCCACAGCACAAAGTTCTGATCGAAACGCGCCTTCTCAAGCTTGGCCGGATTTTGGATAACTATTGCGTGAAGCGAGACGGTGGCGGTATTGTGAATCAAGCAATTGCATGTACCAAGCTCCATTTAAAGCAGATGACGACGCACTTGTACTCGACAGCTCGTACAAGCAGCGACTATCAAGACGCGGCACTGATCAACCTGTTGTGGTACTTATTTGGGCGTGCCTCCGATCTCTGCGTCGTGCGGAAGCAAAACATTACGATTGATGGTGGTGGTGTTTTCTTTATGAAGTTTATCCGCATGAAGACAAGGGAAGAGCTGGGGATATCGCTATTTCCCGACAACGAGTTCCAATCCTGCCCACCCCTTGCAATCGGGCTATTGCTAATGTCTCATGTTCGCCCCATCCCCCGACCTCGTCGACAACCTGCCGCAACAAACAAAGATGTCACCTGTGACCCTCGGTCTAGACGCACCGCTCATCGATCTTCTGGACAACCCTGGTGCCACTGTGCAATCAAGCGCCATCGACACCAAGGCTGCGCCAAGCTCTACGATTCACTGCCACGTAAAACCGTGTATTGGATCGCATCATCAAGTTGGCTGGTGTAGACAAGCAGCTTACCTCCCACTCAGTCCGTCGTGGCGACTCGCAGCATGAGAACGCTGTTGAACACCTTTCTTCTCCGTGGATATTCGATCGCGGCCTTTGTACTGTCAGTGCTACGAACAAGGCGTTTAACTATGTGTTCAACACGTCGCTAGAAGATCATAAAGTCGCAAAGACCTTGAGCGGCTGGGCGCCAACAGACACCGTCAAACTTGCGAGCCTATCAACGTTTGATGTCCGCACGAAAGAGCAAATCGACGCCGTGCTTGCAATGGCCTCGGTACAGCAATGTACAACGTGAGTAAGTCAGTGCTGAGTTTCCTTATGGCTTACATCATACTACACTACCCGATGTTGAAGCAAATCGGTCCCAAAATCCCGAAACACCTTTGGCAGTCTAGCGCTTGGAGACGTGCGTTGTCGAGGCTGGGTGCGCCCTTGTTGACGTGCTTGCTTGGTCGTCGCACCTTGTTGAAGTCCAGGGAGCACTGACTGTGGCGTATGCATCTGTACATATCACACGATTGCAAGTGTTACAAGTCAAGATCAAGACAAACGTATTTAGCACCAAGCCATGGTCATTGAACATTTCATCGAGAACGCAAGGCTCCAAAACGCTCGAATGGACGTACTTGAAGCACACCTCAACTCATCGTGTCAGCCGCAGCCATCCAAGCCAACAACCGAGCTGCCGAACCCAAGGAGCCACGAACATCAGCTAATGCCGACCGTCCCCCAACGAAAGAAATCCAGTACAACGCATCCCAATGCGACGTGGTTTGAGTGGTACGCACTGCAGCCTCGCCTGTGGGAATCAAAAAATGAGAAACAGAAGAAGTCAAATTCAAAGCTACTCGTTGCGTTCATGAAGCTGTTCCTCGAGCATGGCTTCGTATTAGACCCCAAATCACCAACCTATCGCGATGACGTCAATGCCGTCGGAAGGTCAGCCGAAATCAACTTATTGGGTTACCTTCCGGGGCGCGGCGTGGAATTAAATGATCAAGCGCCGTTCTCAAGCACTTGCGCATCTTGCATCTATGACCTCAACGACAAAATCGTCCGGTAACGCCAGTTGTTGCTCGCCACGGGACTCATTACCGACGCGCCCCCCAAGTACATACACGACATCCTTGAATTGCATAATATTGATGGTTAAATACACGCATATCCATGTATAATGGTCCATACAGTGCAAATAGTACCAACAATTAGTCATGAAGAGAGTCGTGGTCACCGACGTGGCGTAAATTGTCGAGTGGGGCACCAACGATGTACATCCATCCATCAACGTTGGGCGGGGCGACCAAATCCCAATGCCAACTCCCATGGTCCACACCGACACGGCCTCCGCCGCGACAGGCTTGCTTGCAGTGTGTAATTGTTGAATGCACTACACTAATACGGTTAATATTAGTCATGCTAACGAAATACAAGTATGTAGTACCAACATGGATAAAGTCGGCCGCGGGCGACCAAACGTTGTAAGCGCACTCTCTTGGTTTCGTATCTCGGTTATGTAGTTAATGAGACCTAATGGATTGGGAAACGCCTCCCGGCGTCCACCGGGCTCTAATTTCATTCGTTTCTTGTTTCCTTCGTATGCAAGGATTGCATCCTTGTTGTCAGCCCACGAACAAATCGTACGGCGCGGAATTGCCAGTTCTTCAGCGACTTTTTACACCGGCATGGACTCCAACATCCCAATGGCTTGGAGCCGATTGGAAATGTGGGAGGAGATCTTGGGAACACGTAGTGTGGACAGCATTTGAAATATGGGAACTGACGTTGTATTTGAATTTTTTTGCGCGCGCGGGAAATAATGATATTAGCCAATCAAATTACATGTTGTGGCTAACAAACTTACAGTTAATTCACCAAAAAACTACAGTAGCACCTTTGGTAATATTCGATAGACGAACCATTCCGAAGTTCCCTGTATCGACATCACTGGATTACACTGTATGATCCACAGTATTAATTTGAGGATGCTCAACAATGGTGGTGGCACATATGATGATTACGTAGCAACACCTTCGGTGTTGTTTCGAGTGAATAGCCCCGGTGGTAAAGCTTCGTCCTTATCCAACGCCCAAGTGTTTTGTGTTTCATTCGTTTTTATGCACACGGATTTAACATTTTTCGGTATGTTTTATCCAATCAAAAAGGCTGCGGCTAGCGCATCGTAACAGCATTACTACCGGTAGTGTAAGAAGTGGAGTCACCCCACTAGTACTAGTTTTGCATCTTGGCATAACCAAGTAATCACATGGGCCAAGCTTGTCAACTACTGGTACAGATTGGTCGTTTACAGCAACTTATTCGTTGATCTTCTAAAGCGACTTCGTGTGGGTTGCTGTGTGGTGACACTCGTCGGGTTGACACATCATGAGCATGCATCGAAGCCGCTTTATCTCCGCCTGTCACTACAACATGCGTGTGTGCCAGCTTGGACAAGGTACTCCCGGTACAGTGATCACCGGTGTACTATAGTCGAAATGTTCAAGTAGATTTGGTGCTGGCTAGGTAGAGTACATTGTTCTGAGAGCACATTGTTTCAAGTTGAGCCGGATTTCCTAGTCCACGTCGACTACCAGTGGGCCTCGACGAGAACCCTGTTATTCATGTTTACACTGTTATTTGAAACAATTGCCCAATGTCTGGACGGCTGCATGTCATGGGCAAACGACTTGATTTGGTCAACCCTTCGGTACTATGCCCCGATAATATGATTCTTACTGATGGTAATTCTACGCATCACTTCCTCATTTTGTCCTGGGTGTTGACCCCAAGGTTCCAAGGCAAAATGATGCTGTTAGTCTTTCCTAACGTGAAATTCACATCGACCACTCGTCATTCGATGTCGACTCCATTGGGTAGAGTTTACAAAATAAGCGACTAAACACTACGGAAAGTGATAGTGAGTGTATTCGAGAGTGCGATGAATCGGTGACATGAGTATTTAGCTGACGCTGGCTCCAATTGTTTGAGTAGCTGGGAAGTTGGTACTTCTGCATTTTCGAAGTTGATAAAAGTGTTCGTTTTGACCAATTATATGGGTGAATATGATCACTTTGCGGACATACTTGTGCATTGTATCCGGAATTATAACCAATCCGACCCGGGGACATGATTACCAGCCAATTATACTTGAATTATGTTGTTTTTTTAGAACATTTCACCCAATCGATGTATACGTAATTGCTAGGACAAGATCGGACCAGTTCGGACAGATTTTGTCCGAATGGATCACAAAATATGAATATGTGCAATACAAACGCTAGCATTAACATATATTTTCCTGCATATAATATTGTGTTCGGACAATTGGTAGCAATCACTTTGGCATATCATTCTGCATGGGGATTCAAGATCTTGTGCCTGCCAACACGACCAAGGCGAATGCTACAGCGATCAAGTCGTTTACGCGCTTTGTCACAGAAGAGAATGTAACAATGGAATACATTCATGCACAATTTGCTCTTGACCCTACTGGCGTTGCCATTGAACGTGTGCTTGACAAGTTTGGGTCGTACTTGGCATTCCTCGACACCAAGGGTGGGAAACAGATCGCTCGGAACACAGTCATGTCGTACTACCGCCACGTCAAGTTGTGGCTGATTGAACTCTACCAACTTAGCGCCGCCGTCTCCGCCAAGCTGTTGAAAATGGGCTCAACCCTCGACCGGTACTGCATGAAACGCAACTCGGGCGGGTTTATCAAGAAGGCCCCAGCGTGCACTAAGGACCACCTCCGTACTCTCATGGGCTACCAGTACTCAACCGCAAAGAACGCTACCGACTACCAGGATGCCGCTCTGTTGTGCTTGTTATGGTACCTATTTGGCCGTGCGTCGGACCTGTCGTCACTCCAGAAGGCAAACCTAACGGTCAGCGCTGCCGGCGTACTAATTGTGCGATTGATGCGAATGAAGACATCAGATGAACAAGGTTTGTCGTTGTATTACGATGAGAAATTCCTTGGCTGTCCCCTTACCGCAATGGCTGCTGCTGTGGTGATGCAATCGACGCCACATGCCGCCCTCCTTGGTAACTTACCATCCGTTGAGGCGGCAGTACAAGCAGAAGCGATGTCGTCGATCCCCTTAATTGACTTGCTCAACGAACCACTTGGAGCGGTCGTCGGGATGCAGCCCATGGATGCAGCGGCTACAATGAAAGTGTCAGTTGCAGCTCTTCCCGGAGTCCACAGTCACATCAACCGCCTGCTGAACCGCATCTGCCAACCAGCTGGAGTCTTAGCTGATTTGACATCCCATTCCTTCCACCGAGGAGGAGCCCAGTTAGCGAACGGATTGTCGGAGTTGTCGCCGCAATGGATCTTTGACCGCGGCAGCTGGAACATGACAGCAACAAACAAGGCGTTTGCTTACGTTTTCAATACCTCCAACGAAGACCAGAAAGTTGCCCGCGTTTTGAGTGGTTGGCCGGCTGGGGTGACCGTCGTGGCTCCGTCGCTCGAGATTTTCGATGCTGCAACGAAGAAAGAGCTTGCACGGATGCAAGCGGTACTTTTTGCGTCTTGCATTGGCATGCAAGACAACAAGTACAACATCAACAACGAAGTCGTCACTCTGCTTATGG